AGTACTTGAAGAAAACAAAATTTATTAATAGAATTTCCCTCAGACTTTTAATTTTTGCTAGGCTTCCTGGGGTCTTCTGTGTGAATGTGTAGTTTAGCAATTGGTCAATGATGTCTGGAGAGTTTATCTCAGCCCTTCTATGATTGTCTCGTTTTCAGACTCTCACCCTAAAATTTCCAGTTGTTTTGCCACCCAATCCCATGGAATCCGCCATCATTGCCCCAGTAAATTTGTAGGTTTTCACTACATCAGCTGGAAGGATAGCAATGCCTTCAATAGAAATGCCACAACTTTGGAGTTCTGAACTGACTTAGTAGCAGGGGTTTTTTGTGTGTGAAAGCACTTTTCAAGTAGTTGTGAGCATATAGTCACTACTGCTCTGAAATAGTTGGTTTTAATAATTGTTAATAATAAACTTATTTTTTTGTGTAGGGAAATTGACCAAACTCCTCATGCTCCCATTATCAGAAATAGAATCCCCCACATTATTTTAAAGCAAATCCCAGATATATCATTTTACCCATGTGTATGTATCTCAGTATGTATCTCTAAAAGACAGGGACTCTCTAGAAATTAACAGTCATAATTCCATTATCACATCAAAAACAACTAATATTCAGTGTTTAAATTTTCCCCAAATTATCTCATGAATATTTTTTTTTTTTTTTTTTTTTGAGACAGAGTCTCGCTTTGTTGCACAGGCTAGAGTGAGTGCCGTGGCGTCAGCCTAGCTCACAGCAACCTCAAACTCCTGGGCTCAAGCAATCCTTCTGCCTCAGCCTCCCGAGTAGCTGGGACTACAGGCATGCGCCACCACGCCCGGCTAATTTTTTATATATATATATATATATTAGTTGGCCAATTAATTTCTTTCTATTTATAGTAGAGACGGGGTCTTGCTCTTGCTCAGGCTGGTTTCAAACTCCTGACCTCGAGCAATCCGCCCGCCTCGGCCTCCCAGAGTGCTAGGATTACAGGCTTGAGCCACCGCGCCCGGCCTTCATGAATATTTTTAAAAGTTTGTCATTTGAATCAGGATCAAATCTATTTGGAAACCTTATGATTGATTTGCTGAAGCCTTCAAAGAAGTTCTCATGGTTAACTATTTGGTTTTCCTGAGGTACAATTCTTAAAGACATTTTTTTCTTTATTTTCCAGTAGAAAAAATAATTAGCTCTCTAGTATCTAACAAAGGTGCTTGTTACTATACCCCCATGTGTTCACATTTTTAGAATTTTACAACCAAATTATTTTTTAATAAATTTGTATTTATGCTTAATGCCTATCAAATTTGAGGCACCAATCATATGATCAATTCATTGTAATTCCTTCCTTTCACTGTTAACTTCCTTTCCGTGCTTCAAATGGTTCTGTGTTCCCTCAGTATCTTTCTGGTTACTAAACTAACATATCCGATTTGCTCCTTGGTAAGATCCCACATTTTAGCATTTTACCTTTGATGAGATAGATTTTAGCCTTTCAAATTCTGCTATTCTATCAGTTCCACAAATAGCTCATAAGTCTCAATTTTTAATTGTATTAACAGTACTCAAGTGGTAATTTTTGTTTTAAGAGACAGGTCTTGCTGCCAGGCTGTAGTACAGTGGCACAATCTTAGCTCACTACACCCTCCACCATATTACCTGGCGGGATTTGTCAAAATATAGGCTGTAGGATTGTAATATGAATTAATACTTTCAGAGTATATGATTGTCATTTTTTTTTTTTAAGAGGCAGGGTCTCACTCTGTTGTCCTGGCTTAAGTATATTGGCATAATATAGTTTATTATAACCTCCAACTCCTGGGCTCAAGCGATCCTCCCACCTGAGCCTTTGGGACTACAGGAATGTACTACCTACCTGGCTAATTTTTAAATTTTTTGTAGACATGGAGTCTCACTATGTTCTCCAGCCTGGGGGTGAACTCCTGTCCTCAAGTGATCCTCTCACCTCAGCCTCCTGAGTTGCTGGGATTACAGGCATGAGCTACCATGCTCAGTTCAGTAATAAAATATGAAACTTCACATTCATATGGTTCCTCTATTCCCTCAAAAATTTCAATTTATGGTAGATATCAGGTTTGGGCCACTGTTTTATGCCAAAGTTTTGGAGTTTGAAAAATATTTTTATGAAAATTAAACTATATTCCTAAGTAGACAAACTGACAAACTCAGCATTTCTTAAGATGCCATAGAGAACACACAGTGAAAAACTGCCAGCCAGAACTTCACTGAAAAGCCATAAAAATCATCACATCCAATGGAAATTACTATACACAGTTCAAAGACAAAAAATTTTTATAAAATATTGATAAATTGGGTTTTGGCAGATTGCCTAGAGTACTTTCTCTATTCGGTTTCTGATCAACCTTCATTAATGTCACTCATTGTTCCAACTTTAAATTTTTGGGCAACAGAATGTGATTGGTTTAGTTCAGATATTCACAGCTGACTTATGTGATCTTATATGGCTAGGGCACATGATATACTGGGCTGACTCAGGACCGGAGTTGAGCAAGTGTCTTTCAGAATAGTGGCTGGGCAGGACAATGGTGTGCCTTCTAAATTGCCAACGTTCACATCTTATAAATGGTTGAAACAGGATTGTAAACTCAGTTACCTGACTTTTACATACATAAATTTAATGCTTTTCACCATTCTGCTATTATTTCTTTGAGGATATATCACATAAGGCTATTAATAAAGGTAAGTTTCATTGAGCCACTACTTTTGAGCATACTGTTCTGAGAAGCATTGGAGAGTTTCTTAAATAAATGACAGTATATAGTTGTGAAATCAGAACTTGTAAACTGTCAGTCTAGAAATTATAGCTACATCTCCAAATACTACATATATTTTTTAAAAGTTGATGTTTTAAACCAATATTAAATTGTATTTCCTTTGTTTTCCCACATAGGCCAAAAATAAGGTTAATGCCAAGGAAGCAAAACAAGCAGAATTAGATTATTACAGACTTACTGAAGCTCTTGCAGTTGAAAAGGAGAAAGAATTTCAGGCTTACGCCAGAGAAGTAATTGAACTTGAATCCGAAACAGCAAATAAACATATTTATCCTCTTGTAAAAGCTGTACAGGAAGGACCTGGAGGTGGCCGTGGGCCAGTTTTTGTGGACAGAGGTGGATTGAGACCCAGCTATCAGTCAAATGACATTACTGGAGTCCAGCTCCCTTTTTATAACTCTCAGGGATCAAAATATAGTTTTCAGAAGTCTAAGGGAAGGCTAGGTTTTACATGGTAGAAAAATTTATTTTTGATTGACAAGACTAAGTTGTAGCAAACATGAACTACAAATGTAAGTGGATTATATATTTAAAATTTGTTAATAAAATTGTTCTTCATCTAAATACAATTGTCTGATTTTATTCTTCACAGTATTTCCATTGGGCATATATAGAACCCCGTTAGTTTTCTTTTTTAAATTGGAAAATACATACACAATGTAAAATTTAATTTTAAATGAATATTCAGGAGAATTAAGTACATTCATAGTATTGTACGACCAGAACTTCTTGGTGCTCCAAATGGAAACCCTGTACCCAGTAAACAGATACCCCCCGCTCATACCTCCTCCTTAAATCTCCCGGTAACCACTAATCTGCTTTGTCTTTATGGATTTGCCTATACTGGGTATTTCACAGAAACAGAATCATAGTATCATACTGTAACACTTTGTGTCTGGCTTACTTTACTTAGCATATTTTCAAAGTTCATCCATGTTATACCATATATCAGTGTATTTCTTTTTATGGCTGAATAATATTCTACTGTATATATTTCTTTTCTGCAGAAATTCATGTTTATTGGTTTTTCCAAAAGTAGTACAATACTAGCATTACTACTTACAATGGGATTACTAAGTGCAGTTAAAGCCTTCTTTATGGTTTAGAGTGTATCTTACTAGACATGTATGAATTACCATGTTTTATAAAAAAAAGTTTTTTTTTGTAGAGATGGGGGTCCCACTATGTTGCCCAGGCTGGTCTTAAACTCATGGTCTCAAGTGATCTTCCTGCCTCAGCCTCCCGAAGTGCTGGGATTATAGGCATGACCCACTATACCCCACTCAAACAATAAAGTCACTTAAAATAATTCTACATATAGTTTGCCAACTTGAAACAAAAGTTTAGTGTTTTTATGAATTGTGCTCTCGTTCCTTTACTTTTTTCACTTTGTGGTAAAAAACACATTTATCATCCTAACCATTTCTACATGTATATTCATGTTGCCAAGAAATCTGCAGAATTTTATCATCCTCTCAACTACTGGGAAACACCATTCTACTTTTCTATGAATTTGACCACTGGGTATATGTGTATATGTCCTTTTGTGACTATTTCATTTAGAATAATGTCCTCATTTCATCCATGTTATAGCATGTCAGTATTCTTCCTTTTAAAAGCAAAGTGATATTCTACTCTATGTGTATACCACATTTTATTCATTCATTCCTTCATAAATGGACATGGTTTGCTTCTACTTCTTGGGTATTGTGAATAGCATTATGAAGATGGATGTACAAATAACTCTTTAAGATCCTTTCAATTCTTCTGGATATATACCCAGAGTTGAATTGCTGAATCATATTATTTAAAATTTTTAGAAACTGCCATACTGTTGTCCACTGCAGCTACACCATTTTACATTCCCAACAGTGCACAAGGGTATACGTCCTCACCAACATTTATTTTGTTTTGTTTATAGTAGCCATTGTCAGTCGCTGTGAGGTGGTATCTCATTGTGGTTCTGATTTGCATTCCCTAATAATTAGTGATGTTGAGCATATTGCTATATGCTTGTTGGCCATTTGTATATCATCTTTGGAGAAATGCTTATTTGGTTTTCTCATAATACAAATGATTTCATATCTCTGTAAGTAAAAGTTGGTTTATTCTAAAGTAAGTTTAGTTGGTTTATTTTCATTTAGCTTTTAATTTAAAAACAGGTTGAATAATATACTAATTTAAAGATACAAACCCACAGTTTATTATAGTATAGTTTATTTAATACAATGTTTAACTATAAAAGTTAATACAGTTTTGAAGTTTAAATTTTGTAAAATGCAGTTTGCAGAAAACAGCTCAACAATTACTAGACTAATGATAAGAGAAGCAGCATTTTACAATTTTACAATCGAGAAGACAACAGCTTTATTTCTAAATTTCATTAAAAAAATATACATCACAGTGACCTTTGAGCTCAGAAAAGAAGTGCATTAACTTCATTTATGTTTCTTCCTTCCACAAAGAGAGCAGCCACAACTTTGAACATCCCCACATACAAATACCCAATTCATTTATCAGTCTTTCAAAAACACTATATACACACAAAAGGGGAAGAAAATATACAGCATGTGCTTTTGGTAACATACGGAATTTTGCTTAGAGAAAAAAACAAAACAAAAATGGAGAAACACAAATCAATCCCACCACTGCCCCCTGTACCAAAAAAAACAAAAAACAAAAAACAAAGAAAACCCTCAAAGACTCCCTTCTCCAACCTTGCTGATGTAATTTTCCTATTCATGTGATTTTTTTCCCTTTAATATTTACTTTGTCACACAACAGGTCACAGAGTTTGCATTTGCCTGAATCCCTTAAAGGCAGTTAGTTGGGAAGCCCACTATGGGCAGGTGTGCCAGTCAATACTGAACTTCCTGGGGCTTATTTTATTAATTTTTTAAACAAGTATTTGTAATAAACACATCTTTTCACAATAAAGAGGTTATCAACCTAAAATCCTTTAGAGAGTTTATTCAATTGTAAATGTATGAATTCTAATCAAAATAATTACAGAAAACATAACCAAAAGGAGACAGAAAAACACCCATTTTATTTCTTTATAACTATCAGCTATATGTTGTATATTTAAAGTACCTTCTGGTGAAGGCAAACTCAACTTTCTATAGAAATTTACTATAAAAAGTTCAGTGTGATGAAAAACTATTACCAACTGGAATGAAGTACTATAAACTACTGAAAGACATACTAACTTGCTCCATTTACTAACTAGAAAATAAATTAGAAATGCCAGTCAATACCACTACCCAAAATACCAGAAACCCAATTTGTGCCTATTCATAGCATTAAACAAACTTTGTTTAGTTTCATACTTTCCACTAGGCACAAGAATCAAAGGCCATTCAGCAAAAGCCAACATGCATCAAAATATCACACTTGTGCAAAGACAGATTTATCACATAAATTCTTTGCAACTTCTGAGGGTTTCAAGTACGTAACTTAAAACAAACTACTTTGTTACATGAACTCACCAACCATAACTTAATCAAAGAATGTTTTAAAGCAACCCAGCAGCTTCTCTATTGCTCATTTCATTGATATTAATCTCTCTGCAGTGTCAATTTTTGTGGCAGACAGCTTACCCAGAAAAATAACTCACACAAAATAATATCATGAAAATTCTACATACTGAAAAATTTTCTTGGCTATCATCAATCAAGCAATAAAAATAAACCAAGTTAAATATCTTTAAAAGGATATTAAGTAAAAGATACTTCGACATAAACTATAAGCTTAGACATAACTATAAAATCAATTTGATAAGCAAACACCTGGCTTTCAGGAAAACAGATAATGTGTAATGTAAAAACTAAAGATGGTACAACTATTAAAATATAAAAGAAGGAAATGACCATTTGAGCTATGTGCTATTCATATGCAAGTATATATCTTGAGGTACAGTTAATGCTATTTAATCTTTTCCTAAATATTCTTTATATTCTAAAAACAAAATCTGATTGTCCTCTCAACTCCTTCACATCTGTTCTATAAAAAGAGCTAACAAAGCATTTTAAAAAAGGACTATGAATCATGCTTAGCAAGGAGTCACTCTTTTGGAAATCCAAACAGGAGAATACTGCTTATAGAAATTACTAAATTTTTCCCCCTATGGTTACTTTTTGAAACTCTTAAGATTTGGAAAGTCCTTGTCTGTAATTCTTAGTAGATAAAGCTGTGGGATCAGACAACATTGAAGTAGTTTTACATAGCGTGGACTTTTAAAAAATATATATAACTATTAGAAATCCTTTCTTAAATAGCACCTGTCTTGAAGCTCAAATAGTTTATAACAAAGATTTTAAAATGCCATTTACTGAATTTAAAACAAACAATAATTTGTTTAAACTATATAACAGATTATATAGTTTGGACACTCAGACTCAATTATCCTTAATGTGGGTTTGTGGTCAGTCTCTAAGGAATCAGTCACCCTGGATTATAATAAACATCCACTATTTTATCATTAGAAAAAAAAATTTGGAAAGAACCCACTGTATTTATTACAATTTCCCAAACAATCTTATAATCATTACACTTCATTCTGTAAGAGCTACCACAATGCCAAATGTATCATTAACTATATTACTCAATAATGGAAAGTATCATGTTAAGCATTGCTTTATTGAGTACAAATAGCACTGAGTAGCTACTGGATTAACCAAGAAGCTACCGTGGTAATAGAATTGACACTATACTGACAAATATTAAAGTACAAAACTCTCTAGAGGCTACTATTAATTGGAATCTTGAAATTTCTTTTCAAATGAGGCAGGTTTTATGTTTGCTGGATGTTCAATGTTTTCTTTAAAAGAGTTATTACAGAATAAAAGGCCACACATCACAAAAATAGCAAAATACAACACACGAAACTCTAAATGGACTTTGGATATGTTTAGTGTTTAACTCTGTAAGCTATCAAGTTTTGCAACTTTCTACTCTACCCTAAATGGCAATGTTACACATGCCAAGTTAAAAATAACACTAAGAGTAATGGTATAAAGCCACCTGAACAGAAAAGAAACCAGAGTCATAAACATGCTACACAGCCTATATCATGATATAGAAAAGATGCATTTTCTGGCCATTTGAAACTCACAGCTGAGAGACCTAGAGAAGTCAGTTCAATTAAAAAAAACAAAACAAAACAAAAAACAAAAAGCATGCAGAGTTAACACTCAATTCTATATAGGTCGGAGGCCAAAACTGAGAAATCTTAGAAGTTAAGGTGTCAATACTAACAATTTTTAGAATCTGTCTAGCTTAAAGTCCTGTACGAGTGGTATGTTTTAGTGAGAAATTTTTTTTTATTTTAGAAAAAGGGTATTAATGATAATAAAACAATGCCCTCCCCCCCAAAGCAATAATTTCAACTCTCAAACCAAAAGCAACATAGAATTGAGAATTACAATCTGATTTTCCAAGGTATAGTTCCGGTCAAATGCTGTATAACAGCAACTGAAGCTCAATCAGTATATCAACAGAAAAATTACTCTTGTAAGACTTTCATAAGCAGTTAAGTGAAACAAAACTAGACAGGAAAAGCATTAATATGAAAAAAGCTATGGCTGGAACTATAAAGTATGAAGTGCAATATAAATAACTAAATATTTTAAAGCACAAATTACTATAAAATCAAAAGTGATGACTTAATAAGATCTCTAGTTATTAGGATCCTGATTCTGCATAATTAAAAGAAACTGCAGCAAACCTCTATTAAAATGTAGTCAAAAAATCTACACAAGATTTCTTCTAGTGGCTTCTAAAGTTACTTTAATTATGAGAAACACAGCCTTTTTAACAATGTATTGCAGCCATCACTTATGCCTGTTTCCAAATGGCTGATTAAACAAATCAGGATGCTACTGGCTGATTGTTGCAACACAATAATACATATATAATAGTTAAACACAGCACACAGTATTACACCAAAGTGTTTTTCTCATTTCAAGTTTATTAAAACTTTAGCAGTACAAATTATCCAGATTGAAGATTATCAAAAGAGCAACTCAATGAAATCCACATTAAAAAAAAAAAAAAGGAAAACATAAAATAACCCAAAAACAATGAAAAGGAAAACAACATAAAGGAGATTCATTAGCGAGTCTCTAAAACTTAAAATTTTAGACAGAATGGAAATAAGTTTACCCAACTCACTCATCCACTTTTGTCTTCATCTGTTCCAGGACTTGATTCATGATCAAATTTCTTATCATGTACATGGTCATTTTCTTGACCCTTTGATTTTTGGTTTTCTTTTTCCACTGAGGATCTGGTCTTCTCATCCTCCTTATTTTTCAATGTGGAGGACTTTAATTCATTGTCCTGACTGCTTTGTTTTATTTTTGAGAATGGACTTTGATCTCTATCAGCCTTTTTTTCCCTGCTATTATTAGAGCTACTATGATCACGATTTTTAGAGTACATTCTTTTTTCACCCTCAGAATTTTCTTTTCTGTGTGAACTCTTACTTTCTTGGTTTCTGTATTTTTCTTTGTTTCTGCTTTGACTTTCTTCTCTCTCTGAGCTCCGTGAATCTCTCCTCCTCCTCCTCCTATCTTTACTTCTTGATCTTCCTGGTGTTGCTCTTCTCTCTCGGCTTCGTGACCGTCCTCTCCTTCTGTACTCCTGTTCTCTGTATCTGTGGTACTCTTTGCTTCTGCTGCGATCCCTGTCATGGCTTCTAGATCGCACTCTTCTGCTCCTGTCCCTACTTCTGCTTCGTTCCCTTGTTCTACTATTGTAACTGTGTTTACCTTTAGTTATATCACATTCTCTGCTCCTAGATTGTGCACGCCTATCCTTTTCCTTACTTTTATTGTAATCATGCTCATTACTTTTTGATTCTAACTGTTTAGACTTCTCTTTACTTCTACTCCTTTCCTGATCTTTTCCTTTAGACTCAGACTGTTTTTCTTTTTCTTTAACATTCTCATGATCCCTATCTTTACTCCTTGACCGCATCCTCTTTTCTTCATGTCTATTATGTTTTGAATCTCTTTCCTTACTCTTTGATTTCTCTTTGCTCTTACTCCTACTTTTAGATTTGGCCCTTTTCTTCACTTTGTTTTTATTATATTTATCATCTTTTTCAGAATTTCTTCTGATGTCTCTCTCTTTGCTGTTAGATTTATGGTCTTTAACTTTCTTTTCCTTTTCATTTTTTCGGTTTGGACTCTCAGATACATGCCTGTGATCAGTTATTTTTCTCTCTTTTACTCTAACTGGACTTCTTTGATTTTCTTTAATTTCATTCAACTCACTCCTAAACAATAAGAAAAAGTAAAAAAAGATTTTTTGGAAATGTTATTTGGAAAGGAAAGGTATACATCATTAGCTAAAATGATATTCTATTTTTCTTAAGGCATTCAGGAATAATTTAAATGACTATTAATAAAATGACTTTATGTACAATAGTAAAAATAAATACTTATCACAAGATTTGAAATAACAGTTAAATCTTACTTATCCCCTTTGATCCATCTTTCACCACTTGATACCCTCATTCTTTGAGCTCTCTGCATCTCTTGCCTCCAATGTGGAGGAGTCTCACTACGTCTGAAACGATCCCTTGATCTGGACCTGGAAGGAGTTCGATAACGCTAAGGAAAATAAAAAGGAAAAAAAATTAATGTATAAGAATATAAAGCATTACAACAATAGACAAAGAGTATATATTATAGGTTTAAATAAAATGTCTGAAATTTTTATGCACTCTAAAATTACAATTTCACAATTTTCAGATAGGAAATCAATGAGGCAGAGAAACTTAAACATGTTAAAAATTCCAAATAAGAAACATTAATCACAAAAACTCTAGACACCCATGTCTTCTCCATGGAAGAGTCTATCTAAGTGATGTTGCTAGAGCATGCAAAGTGCAATAACCATTACAAGTTTCCAAGTTCCAATCTGAATGTTATGTACACTTGATGTTTGAAAGCAAACATTTTCCACAATATCAGAAAAACTGACTAACTGCATAGATGTTCATTTATTCAACCAATACTTACCCAACCCTTAGGATGGCCAACCATTATACCACACACCGAGAAAACATTATTAAGCCAAGATATATCTGATTTTGCTTTCCTGGAACAATTCTACAGGACTAGGAATGGAACACATGAATGGACATATAATCACAGATATTAAACATATATGTGTGGCCGGGTGCAGTGGCTCATGCCTGTAACCCTAGCACTCTGGGAGGCCGAGACAGGCGGATTGCTCGAGGTCAGGAGTTCAAAACTAGCCTGAGCAAGAGTGAGACCCCCGTTTCTACTATAAATAGAAAGAAATTAATTGGCCAACTAATATATATAGAAAAAATTAGCCGGGCATGGTGGCGCATGCCTGTAGTTCCAGCTACTCGGGAGGCTGAGGCAGTAGGATCACTTGAGCCCAGGAGTTCGAGGTTGCTATGAGCTAGGCTGACGCCATGGCACTCACTGTAGGCTGGGCAACAAAGCGAGACTCTGTCTCAAAAAAACAAAACAAACAAAATAAAAAAAAACATATATGTGGCTGGCCAGGTGTGGTGGCTCACAGCTGTGATCCTAGCACTCTGGGACTCCGAGGTGGGTGGATCGTTTGAGCTCAGGAGTTCGAGACCAGCCTGAGCAAGAGTGAGACCCTGTCTCTACTAAAAATAGAAATAAATTAGCTGGACAACTAAAAATATATAGAAAAAATTAAGCCGGGCATGGTGGTACATGCCTGTAGTCCCAGCTACTCGGGAGGCTGAGGCAGGAGGATCCCTTGAGCCCAGGAGTTTGAGGCTGTTGTGAGCTAGGCCGATGCCACAGCACTCTAGCATGGACAAAAAAGTGAGACTCTGTCTCAAAAAAAACACAAACAAACAAAAAAACCCCCATATATGTGGCTATAAGAGAATGACTATAAAAGGAAAAGGTAGTCAGAGAGTATGTAATAAAGAGAGCTGATCTAGTATGAGAGTGTGAACAGTTAAAACGATACAACCTGAGAACTAAAGGATGTTTATGATGAGTTACCTAGGAAAGGGTATGGAGAAGGAGGTAAAACATGGTAAGGACCGATGGGTGAGGAAAAATACATAAGGCATATGAAATACCATGTTTGAGGGTTCTGAGACAGGAAGAACATAGCATGTTTTAGAAATGATCAGATCAAGTATGACTAACTGAAAAGGGGCAAGGGAAAGTAGTACTAGGCAGAGGGGAGGGGGGAGAAGAGAGAAGAGGGAAAGAGGAAGAGGGAAGGGATAGAAATAACTAATGAGGTAAGGACTAGGTTTTGTGAGGTTTCCTAGGCCATGGTAATAATTTTGGATATATCCTAAGATCACTGGTAAACAAGCAACACAAAATCCAATTTTATTTTCTTTTCTTTTTTTTTGAGACAGAGTTTTGCTTTGTGCCCAGGCTAGAGTGAGTGTCGTGGTATCAGCCTAGCTCACAGCAACCTCAAACTCCTAGGCTCAAGCAATCCTTCTGCCTCAGCCTCCTGAAGAGCTGGGACTACAGGCATGCGCCACCATGCCTGGCTAATTTTTTCTCTATATGTTAGTTGGCCAATTAATTTCTTTCTATTTATAGTAGAGACAGGGTCTCGCTCTTGCTCAGGCTGGTTTCGAACTCCTGACCTGGAGCAATCCGCCTGCCTCAGCCTCTAAGAGTGCTAGGATTATAGGCATGAGCCACTACGCCCGGCCCAATTTTCAATTTTAAATGACTATTCTGGCTACTGTTTTAACAAAGGATTAGATCAATGATTCTCAAAGTATGATCTAGAGATCTTAAGACTCTGGAGATCTCTGAAGGCCAAAACTATTTTCATTATAAAATCACAATATGTGCCTTTTTACTTTCATTATTACACACTGAAGTTATTCAGACTATGTGACATGTCTTAATATCATTACTTTCACAGCTAATGGAATGTGTGCTTATATATTTTTGTGTTTTAAGTATCTCCCAGTTTTAATCCTGGATGTGGCAGCTCACACCTGTAATCCTAGCATTTTGGGAGGCTGAGGCAGGAGAGTTGCTTGAGGCTAGGAGTTCAAGACCAGCCTGAGCAACATAGCAAGATCCTGTCTCTATAAAAAATATCCACACATATTTTTAATAGAGACAGGGTCTCAGTCTGTTGTCCAGGCTGGAGTGAAGTGGCATAACCATAGCTCACTGTAGCCTTGGGCTCCTGGGCTCAGGCGATACTCCCACCTCAGCCTCCTGAGTACTACGATGACAGGCGCAAGCTACCACACCTAGCTAATTTTTTACTTTTGTAGAAACAGAGTCTTGCTATGTTACCCAGGCTGGTATCAAACTCTTGTTCTCAAGAGATCCTCCCACCTTGGTCTTCAAAAGTACTAGGATTACAGGTGGAAGCTACCATACCTGGCCAACAATTTTTAACAGTGTAAAGAGGTACTGAGAACTACCAAAACAGAATTTAGGAAGTCATGTATAGTTCAGATAATATGATACTGAGTTGAAGTAACATGGCGGGAGTAAAGCTCGAGAAACAGACGGATTTCAGAATATTTAAGAGGTAGAACTGACAGAATTTGGTGATGGATAAGATATATAAGGTATAAACAAAAGTGGAGAATCAAAATGATTCTTGGACTGTAGGTTTAAGGAACTGCACTGGTGGTGATGCCAGTGACTAAGATGAGGAGCGCCTAAAGAAGGATCAAAATCTGCCACTACTAGGCATCTACCCACAGGAACAAAAGTCATTCTATAATAAAGACACCTGCACTCAAATGTTTATGGCAGCACAATTCACTATTGCAAGGATGTGGAAACAACCCAAGTACCCTTAAATTCATGAGTGGATTAATAAAATGTAGTATATTTATACTATGGAATACTACTCAATTACAAAAAACAATGGTGATCTACTGCCTCTTACATTATCCCGGATAGAACTTGAGCCCATCCCTCTAAGCAAGGTATCACAAGAATGGAAAAATATGCACCATATGTACTTGGCATCAAATTGGTACTAACTGATCAACATTAAGGTGCTCACAGTGTAGTAACATTCAATGGGTGTTGGGGGGGCAGTAGGTAAACTCACAACTAATGGATGTGGTGTACACTGTATGGGGGAAGGGCATGCCTCTAGTCCTGGCTTGAGTGAGGTAAAGTCATTACTTGTAACCAATATGTTTGTACCCTCATAATATCCTGAAATAAAAAAAAAAAAAAAAAAAAAAAGAAGGATCAGATCCGAACAGGATGTGCTTATGTTCAACTTAGTATAAGCTAAATTTAGAGAGGCTCCTTAGTCAAATAAGCCTTTGATGCCGAGAAAAAAAGATAAAAAAATTGACAGTTACCAGCCATGGGAGTAATGAGACTGCTTAGGAGTATATGCAGTATAAGGAGAGTTGAAAACTTGAGGTACTACAATATTTAAAGGTCAGGTAAAAGAATATGAACTAGCATTAGAAATTTAAGATAGACTGGCTAGAGACATAGGAAGAAAATGTGATGAAAGCAGTAAGTAAAAAGTATTATTATAAGGAGGGAGATTAAGTAAGATGAAGACTAAAAAGGGTCCACAGGATTTTGTGACACGGAGCTGACTATACAAGCGCTGTATAGCCAAATTTCTAAAATGTTTTGAAAACACAAGAAGATAATTTAAATTCTGATGAGGATAATCTAGTAAAGAGAAAGAAAAGGAAACCCAAGAATAAGGTTAATTTTTGTTTATTTATTTTTAGCAAGAGTAAAGAAAGACCTTGATCCATTTAAACCATGTAAATGTAAATTCTATTTATATTTTATGAATTTTCAACGTGGAAGTACCAACAAACAGAAGTCACCATGAAAAAACATATAATTCAATATCCACATCCCTCCTCAATTTAAGTTACTTATACAATAAAATAAAATTTAAGAAACACTCTAAAATTATTTAAAGAAGACAAATGCAATACTTTGAAGATTTCTGAGGAAAGAATCACCTACCCTTGGTCCTCTTCCTTTAATTTTCCTGCCAGATCTAGTAACTAAAAGTCGTCTCTGGTATGAAGCTGGCTGAGAGTTAGGTAGATTACTAGAGACAGAGAAAGCAAAAGGAAAGTTAAAACACATTATTTTTATAAAAATAAATCTTCAGAATACAGCTTTATGGATCTAAATAAATTTAAAATCCTATATGCAGTTGGTTCTCCATATCCAAAGGTTCTATATTCGCCGAGTCAACCAACAGGAGATCAAAAATATTCAGAAGAAAAAAAGCTCCAACAAAATATAACAATACAAGCCTGGCGTGGTGGCTCACGCCTGGAATCCCAGCACTTTGAGAGGTCAAGGCAGAAGGATCACTTGAGGTCAAAAGTTCTGGGCAACAGCAAAACCCCATCCCTACCAAAAAAAAAAAATAAATAAAAAATTTAGCTGGGTGTGGTCACACAAGCCTGTAGTCCCATCTACTTGGGAGGCTGAGGCAAGAAGACCACCTGAGACCAGGAGTTTGAGGTTGCGATGAGCTATGATGATGCCACTGAACTCTCGATCCAGCAACAGAATGAAACCCTGTATCAAAAAAAGAAACAAAAAAATCCAACCAAACAAAAAATATAGTATAACAACTATTTACATAGCATTTACATTGTATTAGGTATTATCAAGTAATCCAGAGATGACATAAAGTATAACACATAGGAGGATGTGTGTAGGTTACTGTATCATTTTATAAAAGAGATAAGCATCTACACATTTTAGTATCTGCAGGGAGTCCTGGAACCAATTCCACGTGGATATGAGGTACAACTGTATAATCAGTGGTTCTCAACCAAAAATGCTATCAGTAACTATAGGGTGCTACTGCTAAATAGGGCCCCAGTGTCAGAAATGCTAGAATCTTGAAATGTAGGAGCATGAACATGAACTATCCTGCCTCAAAATGCCAATCATGTCCCTCGAGAAACACTGTTATATACTCATTACTAAGATGAAACTAATTTGATAGTGCTGAGGAAAATTAACATAGAAGAGCTCAGAAGCAGCTACATGCTGTTGAGAGAATAATTTTTAAACTATTTTACTCCAAAGTACCTTCTTATCCTATAAGTAGTTGTTCACTGGTAACAGAACTATAGTAATATAAGTAATGTGAATTAAGCAAAGGCAAGCTGGCCTGAATTAGTCAAACATTCATACCATGGTTTATATCAAAAAGGAAAACTGTGTTTTTCATAATAGCTATATCAGTTAATATTTAATTAGCACATCAACAAAATCCATGTAAGTGATATCTGAAAAGTTCATTCTAAATCAGTTCAAATATTTTCTCTTTAATCTTTATTTCCTTAGAAATATTCTTTCTAATAATAGTAGAAAAATAAATTCAATCCAAATCATCAAAATTAGTCCAAGTTTCAAATCATTCATTCGAAATAGGTCTCTTTCTGTTGCCTGGACTAGAGTGCAGTAGTGTTTATCATAGCTCACTACAACCTCAAATGCCTGGGCTCTAGCAATTCTCTTGCCTTGGCCTCCCAGGTGCTGGGATCACAGGCACATGCCATCATGCTCGGCTAAATTCTGTAGAGATGTGGTCTCACTATTGCCCAGGCTGGTCTTGAACTCCTGGTCTCAAGCAATCCTCCTACCTTGGCCTCCCCCAAAATGCTAGAATAACAGGTGTGAGCCACTGCATCCAGCCCTGTTTTTACTGTATTGTGAAAGCATAGGGGGATTGCTCAAAATTTTACTACTTGACAATATATTTCTGGTCATAACTAAGACTTCAATCTTCTTTTTTCTACTTTTGAATATAACTGTTAAAATGATTTATAAAGATCCATTAGCTCTACTGATAATAATGTGGATTTATATATAAAGATTTTCAAAGGACTTGAGAACATGATATCAATTTTTATTACTACAAGATTACAAATCAGGTAAGGAAAATAGCATTTTCTCCTATTAGACACACTGAAAAATCAAGGATCTTATTTGCTTAGAAGTTTAATGTATATACAAATAACACAGCAAAACTATCTCGTTTTAAGGTTAAGCACTATTCTGTTATTGGTTTGGAATGCCACTTTAACATCCTTTTTCCTTAGTGCTTATTATTTTAAAAAAGTAACTTTATTTCAAAATCTGCTCGTAATTTAAGTCAATTTATCTTATTAGCTATGTGATTAGCAAAAAAGCAGCTTTGCTAACAACATTCTATAAAAAAGATTTCAACCTTGGAACAAAGGTCACCAATTAAATTTTGCTTAAAATAAGTAAAAACTTTTAAAGAAGAAAAGTTCTATGGTAAAATATGTAGGGTACTCTACAAAATACACACATTCACATACCACTCTCTTTCTCTTTCTCGCTCTCTGTTTTTCCTTTCCTTTTCATCAGCTTTAGGAGGACTTTTCCTCATTAAGAATCTATTTTCAGGTATAGGAGGGATCTCTTCTGGACGGACAGTAGACTGGGGTTGTGCTTCAAGATTTTCAGCCTCACTTTCGCTTGATGCACTTAATAGGACACACAAAACAAATTACGTTTGGTTACTTTGCAACTACCCCAAATTTCTAATTATTAGTATTTTTTTCTCACATATCACAATCCATATACCATCTTGTCCGTCCCCAAAATGTAATCACATGGGGAAAAATCTTCCTCCATTCCCCTGACAAACCAACTAACCAAAAAAAATCAAAACAAAATGTGTCTGTTATCACATTCCCAAAAGATATTTTTCCATAAAATGGATCCAAAATATGAAATTCTGTAAACATGCTTATGGGTTGACTAAAAAAAGAAAGTGTGAGCAATGCACTCTCTGATAAATTTAAAGTGCTTTACAATAGAGGTAAAGCAACTTAATTGCTGTTGAAGCAATAGGGAGATAAAGATAAGTTTTAATACAAACAGATTATTTCAAAGAAAACTGAAAAGAAAGTAAATACACTGATGTTATCTGCTTTCTATCCTTACACTATTACACTATCATAAGAGCAAAGGAGACGGCCACTGAAAATAAGGAAAACAATCGGTGGCTTCCTATAATTTTCACTAATCTCACAATCCTGCCATAAAAATATATAAACCCGTGAAACCAAAAGCATCATTTCACTGAGTGCAGAAAAAATGAACTGATTGGTTTTGTTTATAAAGGAAATGTTCTTTCTTGAAGCAGGATAGAGGAAAAAGAAAGAAAAAGATAGAAATCAATGTACCTAAACTTAATATATATACCACAGAATATCAAAATGGTCGTATGATACACCATGTTATAAAATATTTCTATTTTGACATTCCCATATAACTGATCCAAAATCTCAATAGATTTATTTATAACAAAAGGGAATCAGAATATAAAGCTAGCATTATAAAATTAAGACCTTTTTTTGCTTTTCTTTCGCTTCTTCTTTTCTTTCTTGTGTTTTCGCGAATTTTTCCTATGTTTCTTTTTTCTTTTTTTCGATTTCTCTTCAGAAGCACTTTCAGAATCTGAAGAATCAGAAGAGGACTGAGAATCGCTTGAGCTATCTGAGTCACTGGATGATGATGAGGAAGATGATGATTTATGCCTTTTCTTTTCTTCTTTCTTAACTTTAATAAAAACAAAAGGTTTTAGTCAGTAACTTTTAGACAAACTTTGTAAGAGGAAATATAAATTTTCTGCAGTTTCTCACTAAGTCCAGTGTTTAGCACTTTGCTCATCCGGCTATGTTAAGTGAAGAGTAGAGGAAAGGAGTTAAGACTTAGAACTCAGATCTCAGGTACATTTTCTCAGGACCTCTTGAGACCATATGCTCTGGGTCAGAGTCATACACATTCCGCTCAAAATAAAGCTCTTTAAATTACAAAGACAAAACAAACAACAAAAAAATCCAGAACTCCAGATTCATTGGTCAAATGAATGTTGTTATCTGTCAAACTTGTTAAGCCAGAGAACTTTTGAAAACAGATGAGTCTAAAGTGCTAAACTAAGTTAATTTTAAAAAATATTTGAGGCCGGGCGCAGTGGCTCACGCCTATAATCCTAGCACTCTGGGAGGTCGAGGCAGGTGGATTATTTGAGCTTAGGAGTTAGAGACCAGCCTGGCAAGAGCAAGACACCGTCTCTACTAAAAATAGAAAGAAATTAGCAGGACAATTAAAAATACATAGAAAAAATTAGCTGGGCATGGTGGCGCATGCCTGTAGTCCCAGCTACTCGGGAGGCTGAGGCAGAAGGATTGCTTGAGCCCAGAAATTTGAGGTTGCTGTGAGCTAGGCTGATGCCACAGCACTCTAGCCCGGGCAACAGAGAGGGACTCTGTCTAAAAAAAAAAAAAAAAAAAAAAAAAAAGATTAGTAGTAGATTCGTAACAGTGAAATAACAGAAAAACTATGAACATGAAAAGATAAGAAACATGACTTCACTGGTATGGGCTTATTTCAATGCCTGAACAGCCTTCTAATGATTAAGAAATTTAGCTTTAGTTGACAAGCAGATTCATAACAGAGAGAAGTCATTTGCCCATGATGAATAGCTTTGTTTTGGGGTCTCTATAAAAAAAATCATTTCAGGCCGGGTACAGTGGCTCATGCCTATAATCCTAGCACTCTGGGAGGCCCAGGATCACTTGAGGTCAGGAGTTCAAGACCAGTCTGAGCAAGAGCAAGACCCCATCACAACTAAAACTAGAAAAAATTAGCTGAGCATGGTGGCACATGCCTATAGTCCCAGCTACCAAGAGGCTGAGGCGGGAGGACTGCTTGAGTCCAAGGGTTTGAGGTTGCAGTGAGCTATGATGGCACCATTGCACTCCATCTTAGGTGACACAGTGAGACTGTCTTAAAAAACAAAAATCACTTCAAATTGAAATTTTATTTTGGGTTAAGGAAGTAAAAATTTTAAAAAGGGTCCAAAATCTCAAGGATTTAAAAGGATCAGGAAATTAACATAAGTAAGTGAAGCTAGAAGGTATAATACAACAGGGATTAGAAGAAGATATAACAAATCAAGTAGAGCTTGACCCATCCAAATGTACATTAATTCAAACCATGGCGAATTTGAAGAGGTTAATTCAGGCCAAAGATGGGACAACACAGATATATGGATGAAAGGTACCATAAACTGAAATATATCAAATACATTAAAATCCATCAGCTCATAGTGACATTGGTAAATAAAATATAATGCATTTGTCCTGCCTTTCCTATTCAAACTGTACCACCAGCTAACCATATATATGAAGGGAAGTTGCTCTTTATTAGAAACATTCCAGGAATAAATGAAGAAGGAATTACTTCTAGCCAAACAGAAAATGGAAAAAAACAAAATGATAAAAGTAAAAATTAAATTTTTTAAAAAATTATAAAAAAAGAAGGAATTACAGGGTTAGAATATCATCATTTTGCAACCTCCTTTAAGACAATGACCACCATGGCTGCTGCAGAGCACAAAGCAATAACCTGTCCTGTGTGACTCCTGCTCTCATCAAAAAGGAATGTTTTAAAGCCAAAACTAAGGCTGGGCGTGGTGGCTCACGCCTGTAATCCTAGCACTTTGGGAGGCCGAGGCGGGCGGATTGCTCAAGGTCAGGAGTTCAAAACCAGCCTGAGCGAGACCCCGTCTCTATCAAAAATAAAAAAAATAAATTAATTGACCAACTAAAAATATATATACAAAAAATTAGCTGGGCATGGTGGCGCATGCCTGTAGTCCCAGCTACTCGGGAGGCTGAGGCAGTAGGATCGCTGAGCCCCGGAGACTGAGGTTGCTGTGAGCCAGGCTGACGCCACGGCACTCACTGTAGCCTGGGCAACAAAGTGAGACTGTCTCAAAAAATAAATAAATAAATAAAAAATAAAGTCAAAACTGCATCTGATCAATTTTCTAGACCTACCTACCAAGTCAGTGTGTTTATAATTATGGTATTGGTTATATTTTAAGAGTCATCTTTTAGAAATATTTATTAATAAAAGATTATGCCTGGTATTTGTTTCAAAATAAGAGGAAAGGGAAAAGTGGCTGGGGATGGTTAAAATGAGATTAGCCAAGAATAAATTTTTGAAGATAGGTAATGAACATGTGTGTTTGTTATACTATTTTATTGACTTGAGTATATGTGAATATTTTCCATATAGTAAAAGTCAAGAGGTCTGGATACTATGGTGGTAGCTAAAAAAAAAGTCAAAGAGGACAAAGAATATACATCTCTGGATTGTTTGTTGGCTACCTGGCTATAGGACCGTAATTGAAAGGGTTAATAACTGTTAACAGTTATGACGTTTCATTTAGCCTCAGGAATATCTGAGGATTTGACATTTGGTCCAAATCATCCTTGCAATTCTTTTGCTTCTTCTTGAGACAGCGTCGCACTATGTTCAGGCTGGCCTCAAAGTCTTAGGCTCAGGTGATCTTCCTATCTCAGCCTTCTATGTAGCTGGGATTATATACAGGAACATATTTAATCCAAGATAAATGAGAATCTGGCAGAAGTTAACATGTACTTAACCAGGGACTTGTGGTCCACTATCAAGATTGCTTACCCAGTACTGACGAGGCATTTGTTGCACTGGATAATGGGAACAAGGTATAAAAGCTAGAGACTCCAGGTGTAATGGCCTCACTGAACTAAGGTAGTCCTTCCTCACCCAGCTGTGTCCCTCAGGACCATGAATATATCAAGTGTGAGATACTTAAGATATAAGCAAAATGTGCCTGGAAATCACAAGAACTCCACTAGGCTGTTGCTGTACCAGGTGTGCTGTTTCTTGTCCTATAGCCTTTCTTAAAGGTAAGTAAACTTAATGCCCAGTGAAGCTTATGTTGTCTCATAAATCCAACTGTTAATCTGAACCCAACACCACTGCTACTGCTACTGGTGAAGCAGAGTAGGGAGGCAAACATGTATATATTGAAAACTCTACTTATGTATACTAAACTAAAAGCCTGAGGGGGCAGAAAAATCAAATATTAAAGAAATCTAATAAAAATAAAAATTTTTAATGTTTTTTTAATTTAATTCATTTTTTGTTTGTTTTCTTTCCACCTCATATGTGACTATAGAAAATAAATTCTTTTTTTTTTTTTTGAGACAGAGTCTCACTTTGTTGTCCAGGCTAGAGTGAGTGCCGTGGCGTCAGCCTAGCTCACAGCAACCTCAAACTCCTGGGCTCGAGTGATCCTTCTGCCTCAGCCTCCCGAGTAGCTGGAACTACAGGCATGTGCCACTATGCCCGGCTAATTTTTTATATATATATATCAGTTGGCCAATTAATTTCTTTCTGTTTATAGTAGAGACGGGGTCTCGCTCTTGCTCAGGCTGGTTTTGAACTCCTGACCTTGAGCAATCCGCCCGCCTCGGCCTCCCAAGAGCTAGGATTAGAGGCGTGAGCCACAGCGCCCGGCCTAGAAAATAAATTCTTAATGAATATGAATAACTCTAAGAAAATCTGGCTGGGCCCGGTGGCTCACGCCTGTAATCCTAGCATTCTGTGAGGCCAAGGCTGGATTGCTTGAGGTCAGGAGTTTGAAACCAGCCTGAGCAAGAGTGAGACCCCATCTCTACTATAAATAGAAAGAAATTAACTGGCCAACTAATATATATAGAAAAAATTACCCGGGCATGGTGGTGCATGCCTGTAGTCCCAGCTACTCGGGAGGCTGAGGCAGAAGGATTGCTGGAGCCCAGGAGTTTGAGGTTGCTGTGAACTAGGCTGACACCACGGCACTCACTTTAGCCTGGGCAACAAAGTGAGACTCTGTCTCAAAAAAAAAAAAAAAAAAAAAATCTGAGTCTGGGCCGGGCACAGTGGCTCATGCCTGTAATCCTAGCACTCTGGGAGGCGGACGCGGGAGTATTGCTCGAGCTCAGGAATTCGAGACCAGCCTGAGCAAGATTGAGACCCCATCTCTACTAAAAAAAAAAAAGAAAGAAATTATCTGCACAACTATAAATACATATAGGAATAGTAGCCGGGCATGGTGGCACATGCCTGTAGTCCCAGCTACTCAGGAGGCTGAGGCAGAAGGATCGTTTGAGCCTAGGAGTTTGAGGTTGCTGTGAGCTAGGCTGACACCATGGCACTCTAACCAGGGCAACAGAGCGAGACTATCTTAAAAAAAAAAAAAAATCTGAGCCCACATTATATGCAAGCAAAATAAAAATATTACACTTACTATACCTGTTAAAATTATTCAACAAAACATAGTAACTCTTTATCCCACAATTAACAAAATTTTATGCACCAGCTCCAATTTACATAGATTCTTTCCTCTAACAAGGACATCACAGTTGATTTATTTTAAAAGCAAGTACACCCTCTTCACCAAGTACATTAAATATATTTCAAATGAAGATTAATTTACACATCACTTTTGAAGAAAACATTTTAGTGAAACAAGATATCACAATAATATGGAAGGCCAGATTTATAATTAATTTTAAAGTAATATAATGTTTCCATATCAGACATTAACTATGAAAAGAAAATAAAAACATGTTTTAGTAAATGTGCCTTGAAATAGAGCTTACAAAGCTCTAAAATTAAAAGGTCCTGCCGGGCGCGGTGGCTCACGCCTGTAATCCTAGCACTCTGGGAGGCCGAGGCGGGCG